GTCAGTAAGCAGTAGCAAGATTGCTGTCACAAATATTACAGTGTTCAGTTTAAGCTCCTTTCACAATCGCTCCATAGACAACCATTTGAACTAGGACTTCAAAATGGTGGCAGAAAAATTAATTTTATTTACGGTATCATGATGAATATACTATGAATATATTTAGCACCAATTGGTCTATTGTATGGCTTCTGAATAGATACGGTATAGTGGAAAATTTTTGTAGCCCAAAATATTTGTGGATTTAGCTTTTTTTTTCAAAAATCTATGAAAATAAAAACCGCGAAAATTGATTCAATACAGTTCAAAATGGCTGAAAAGTAGAAAACCACAAAAATGAAAGCCACAAAATTATTTTTGAATGGATTCGCCAAATTTATGGCCATGAAAATTTTTGGCTATACGGTAGACTTTTGTAATAAATTGTAGCAGCAGTAAAATGCTCACTTTACTTAATGCTACAGCTAAATAATATAATATTTTTATTTTATACTTGAATAATAAAATAACTGCCAGCAACTGTTTCACAAATGTTTTTGAAGCTTTTTTATCTTGGAGTAGGTCTGTTTCTTATATAAATTGCACTAGTGCAGTCTGTAATGGTGTCTTTTCATGCAAAAGTGATGCAATTATTGCATCAGCCATACACATATGGCTGATCTTTCTCACAATTGGGCGAGGTATTTGTCATCACAACACAAATTTGATTTGTTTTAATTAATTGATCTTAATTAATGTGGGCATAGCATAGAGGTGACACTCAAACTAAAGAGGTAAGGGTATTACTAACAGCAAAGTATTTCTGAGACAATTATTTTTCAATCCCAATAAGTTGAAGTGAAATAATATTATAAGTAGCAATGTAGGGGTACATATCAAGCAATAATTAGAGGCAGTAATTCTGGTATTTTAAAGAAAAAGTGTTTGAAAAGTACTTGTTTTTGTACAGTGCTGAAATTCTTTTCGTTTCAATTATAAATTCAACATAACAAAGACTAAAAATTACTTTTACAAAAAATAAAAAAGAAAAGAATTTCGTAAAATTACCCACTTGACAAAAATACCCAACCTACATTACTGTCATTAGCAATTTAAAAAACTTTTAAAAGTACTTGTACGTGCAATTTGTGCTTTTGTAATCCAAAGTATTTTTTGCAAGCTTTTGCAATCGAATTACAGAATGACTAAGGCTGCAAAGCGGCTGAATACTATTCTGAGTTATATGAAGAAGGTGAAGTTAAGCATATCAATGGTGTTGGGCCTATATAGTTTCCTAAAATTTTAGTTAGTTTGTAGGAAATATTTACGGTAACTCGCTCCACCTATAGGTGGGGTCTCAAGGTTTTATATAACCCCCAACCCAATGTGACCATGTTGGCCTTTTGAATAACGATAAACATGCATAATATATCAAACCACTCCTATGTGAAGGTGCAGCATATCAATGTTTAATAATTTATTTCCTATTATAGAAAATAGGGAGGGTGCATGGGCAGGAGTCCATTGATATGCTTGACTTCACCTTCTTCATATAACTCAGAATAGCATTTAGCCGCTTCGCGGCCTTAGCCATTCTGTAATTATATTTCAGAAGGCTCAGTCTCACATATCAATGGTGTTGTTTGTAGCTGTTAGGACTGATTTTGCAAACCCTGTATCCTGTACTGGTTTGTAATAGAAATGCTGAAAGGTCGAATCTGAACTCCAGTCTGCTGCATTAAGGATATCTTCAGTTGTGATTCCTTGCATAGCAGCAGTGGAAGTGCTAGGACTCCTGACAGAGTGAGCTTTAAACACACTGGTGTCTATTCCCGCCAGCTCCATGATTTTGTTTCAACCATCTAGCAATAGTGGAAGAGGTGACTGGCTGATGTGGTTTGATGAAAGAAATGAATAATTGTTTAGCATCCCCTCTTAATTCTCTGGTCCTCTCAATATAAAGGCTCAAAGATTTCACTGGACATAGAGCTTCATCTCCATTAAATTTAGCAAAGAAAAATTCTTTAAAGGTTTTGCCTGGTCTGGATTGTTTAGCCAGGGACGTGGGTACAAATACTGCACCCTCAGAGGTATTTCTATAGCCTTTAAGGCTCAGGTTGGAGAGGTCAGCTGAATGAGATCGGCAAGTCAATGCCAATAGCATGACCGTTCGTAAAGACAACTGCTTAAGGCTCGTGTTGTCATTCAAGGTGCCGATATTAATATAGCGTAAAACCAGGCCTACATCCCAAGTATCTTAATACCTTGGTAGAGGTGCGTGTGTTTGAAACACTCCTTTCAGTAGTCTGGTGATCAAAGGATGTTGACCAATGAATAGCCCATCTACCGGAGAGTGCATTGAAGCAATTGCTGACTTGTATGCATTGAGGGATCTATACTGATATCCCTCCTTGTAGAGGTAATTTAAAAAATTTGCTGCATCCCCTATAGGTCCTGAAATGGGATCAGCTTCCCGTTCAGTACACTAGCTGATCCATCTTTTACACATTGAGTCATAGGATTGAGAGGTTTTTTGCCTCCAAGAGGACATGAGGAGGTCTGCAGCTTCTTTTGAAAGTCCTTTACTAGCATAGTGTTGCCTGAGATAGGCCACACGGCTAGAGGTGGTGCCACAGGAGGTTGGTGGTCTGACATCACTATTGCATTCTGCTAAACATTGATCCTGAGAGGATAAGATGTTAGCAATCCCAGGAGTCTGGGGTATCAGGGTTGTGATGGCCACACTGGAGCTACTAGGACTAAATCTGTCCCCTGCTCCTCCACCTTTGCCAGGACTCTCCCCACTAGGTTCCAGGGCGGGCTAGCATAACCCTTCACCTGTCTCCAGTCCTGGAGAAAGGCATCTGTGACCTGTCTTTTCTGCTATTGGGTCTGGCCTCTAGCTGAAGAAACAGGGTAGCTGATGGGTCAATCTCGTCGCAAAGAGATCCACCTCAAGGTAAGGAAATTGGGCTCTGATCCGTCAAAATATTGACGGGTTCAGCATCCAATCTGAGAGGTCTCTCATCACTCAGGACTCTGAGTCAACCATAACGTTCTCCTTCCCCGGTAGACGCTATGCTGTCAAGAAAATGTTTCTCTTTAGATGCCACATCCACAAATTCTTCGCTATTTTTGTTGCCTGGGTGGAGACTGTTCCGCCAAGATTGTTGATATAAGCTACTGCAGTTTGATTGTCCAGCAGTAGCAGGACTCTTTTGTTCTCCTGACTCTTCAGGAAGGTTTTCACGGCCAAGGTTGCCGCTAGCAACTCGAGGCAGTTTATATGCAGGGTCCTTTCCTCTCTGGATCAAGGGCCTCCCGTTTGATGCCCTTGTGCAGTTGCTCCCCAGCCAATGAGGGAGGCATCTGACTCTATTTGAATGTCCGGCTGTCTCAAAATGAGGCTCTTGCCGTTCCAAACTGTTAGTTGTTCCTGCCACCAGATTAATTCTTTTATGGCAGCTTATGACAGAGGACAAGGAGCATCATAGCATTGCTCGTTTTCCCCCAAAGCTGAGGCCAGGTCACTCTGTAGTGCTCTGCAAAACAAGGGGCCTGGGGGAACTGTCACGAAAAAAATTGTCCCCCGTGAAAATTTATCCTAGGATAGAAATATCACGTGATATTTTATGTCCGCGTCAGCAATTTTTTGTCCTACCAAAAGAAAAGTGTAAAGGAACTGTAAATCTTTGTATTCGACTTTGTTCCTTAATCATTTATCTATGGAATACAAGTACAAAGCATGTGGGACCCTTTATTACACGTTCAAAGTACATAGAAGAAGATTTCAGATCGAAGAAGGATGACAGACTGTGTCAAGAACCGAGTAAAGAACCCAGGAAAGAATTAAGAGGATGATCTTGTGGAGAAGGCAGCTGTGTATTTAGCTGATAGAAAGTGTCCAGAAGGTTGTAGTGCTAACAGAAAGAGGCAGATATGGAAAAGAGCTGAAAAGTTTGTTTTCAATGCAAAATGGGTAACCGCCGTATTACCAGACCAAAATGACTGAATGGTCAACTATATCATGATAGTGTAGGTGTTTTGTGTATTTAAATAGTTTAGTTAGTTATGTGTATATATGTATGTACGTAGTATGATATCTGTGCTTTTGTAGACAAACTCAGTATGTATATGCATCTGTATTCATGATTTAAATAATTAAATCAAAGCATCAATTATAACAAACTGATATATGATAGCTTGCCCAACGATGGTATTGATAAACGTACCAGGGAGCAGATAGCAGCAATACCGAAATGCACTGAGTACAGGGAATTAAAGTGACTGTTCCTAGTATGCAAATTAAGGTAAAATGGACAATAAGATTGTGGTTTATGTGCCCTTGCTTTAGCAATGTCAATTTGTGCTGGTTAAGACCCAACTTCTTGCAGCTATATTTCACATAAGCTTCGTTTCCATCTTTTATAATGCTTAGAAAAGAATGTGATGTCTTTGTTTTCTACTTGTTTAAGAGCTAGATGCCCTGGACTATCCAAAGAATACAGGTTACCTATATACTGCCTGTGCAGACAACCTATAGTAATGAAGGAAGAATGGTAAAATGTTCTTAATGTAAGGAGTGGTATCACGTAGAGTGTGAACAAATACCAGAAGATGTTTGGACTGATAAGGACTACGTTTGGTCATGTAATTGTTGTAAAAGTTGCATGAAGACAATTATTGTGCGATAATGAAATGTATTATTATTATTATTATTAATACTGAGTGCTAAGTAAATTTTCCTTATCAAAATAGTCTATATGTGCATAATATTATGATCCTAGGATAAAATATTTCAGATACAATTCGTCCTAGGACAAAAATATTTCATGTATTATTTTGTCCTAGGACAAAAAAATTAGTCCTAGGGTAGGACAATAAAAGCTTGCCTAGGACAAAATATTTCTGAAAAATTTTGTCCTAGGACAAAATATTTCTGCAAGATTTTGTCCTAGGATAAAATATTTTGTCTCATAGGACAAAATTTGGGTGGGACAGATTTTTCTGTGACAGGCCTTCATACATTCCATAAGATCTGCTAGTGAGCCTGTAGTACCTTGTAGCACTCAGAAAAATGGCCAGGTGGTCTCACCACCTTTGATTTTCTTTTAATCTAGAGGCCTTCTTGCTATCAGAAATTTACAACATGGGTGGATACCACAATATGAAAATACTACAGATGGTTGCAAAATCTATGCAACAGCTATCATAAGTGTCATAATTAGTGTTAAAGAAGAAGGTGCACTATAAAACTATCCACGCAACGTCATAGAATCGCTTCCGCCCGTCACCGTATAAAAGGAGGTGCCCTGGGCACAATATGGCGGCCACATTTGAAAATAACAAAATGGCACCCGCACTGGCACTGTTCTTATCATGGCTAAATCACTAGCAAAACGCATTATAAAAACATTAAAATTAGTAAAGGCGAGAGAGTGAACCTACAAGCACAGGTAGAAAGCATGGCAAGAAGAGAAATGGTATAATTGACTTGAAGTAATAATTTTTTACATTATTATCAAATATTTATATTGTATATTCTGAAAATCTGTCAACAGCCTAACAAACATGGTCAATAATGCTGTCAGGCAGGTTGTAAGTGATAGTGGCAAAGGAATAGCCCTCATTACTACATAAAAATAAAAAACCAGCCCAGGAACTGCCACCACCGGGATCAGAAGGCCTTGCCGACTACCAATTATCAGGCACCCTCATCAAGTAGAAGTGGTTACAGCAAAAGACCCCTCACTTGGTCCTCAATCAGATCCTAGTACTGGTAGCAGTTGCAACATTCAACGATCCACTGGAAGTAGTAAATACAAAAAATATATTATTCTAAATTATTAAGCATATACAATAACAGAGTTGAATGGATATGGGGATGGTGAGAAGCTTCCTGTAGTTGTGTACATCTTCCCAACTGTAACAAGTAATGCCGATCAAAATATGGCAGTACTGTGATGGTAATATACCAGCACAAGTATATGCTAGTACGAGCCTAAAAAAATATTAATGCCAATTAATGTATGATTACTTTACATTCACATTATACTTACTTCTGTATCTACTACATAATAAACTTGAGTTACGATTACAGGACTCAACTATCATTGAACTGAAATTCAGCACAAATCACATGACTTATACTATAATAATAATAGTAATAATATAAATAAATATAATTTTGATAATTATTATAATAAAATAATAATAATAATAATAAATAATACCTGACTGTAATTGATCACCCTTCGGTCAACCATACGACACTATCACCAACATGTGCGTCCCAATAGCCGATCCTATATCTATGCACAAAATGGCTGCTCTTCGTCCCCCATCACCAATACCTGATTTTATATTAACACTAATTTCAAACACATTATAACTACCTGAAGTATTGAGTATAACTAGTATCATGTGATAGAGCCTCTAACTGATCCTCTTTCCCGACTAAATGTGAGACAGCATTTCCAGCGCCTTCTTTTAGTGGCTAAAGACCCCTCAACTTGATCAAGCCTAACTAGAACTGGTCCTTGTCTTCTTTGAGAGTAAAATGTAACTCAATTTGGTACCAAAACCCCTCTCTGCCTGCGTTTTTCCTTGAAGAAGCAACATCATCTAGAGCAGACATTTTTACACGTGAAAAAACGAAAGCCATCATGCCCAGGGCACCGCCTTTTATACCGCACCTTCTCGTTTAAGTAAGTGTGAATATTAAAATGGCTTCCTATGACCACATGTACAATCTAATGTGGGCGTGTTCAATGATTTTAATTATTATTACACGCAAGCAATGTAAGTGTCACCTCCTTATAAGGAGTGTAGTAGTGATTGCAGATTTCAAAATATTGATCTAGAAGTTGCAAAGATTCTGCAACCATCTGTATTTATTATGAATGAATATCATTATTGTAAATATTTGTAATCATAATCATTGAATTAAAATAACATTAGCGCCTTGGGGGTCCATACAAACCATGTTGGTACGTGTATGTCCATCCAGTTCAGATAGTCTCATTAGCCAAACCATACCCCAGCCTACAGTCATTTGGGTGGACAAAAGGCTGAGGAATGGTCTGGCTATAGTGAGACTACACTTTAGTCCAGTTTGGTTACAGTTTACATAAGATACTATCAGATGCGAATGTACTAAAAGTACATGTAAATGTACATGTAGCTAAAGACCAAGTTAATCCATGCTGACCTCTGACATACACTAAATTACTAATAATAGGAACATGCATTGGTCAAAAGTTCCTCATACCTCCATCAATACTACCTTCATCCATCATACTTAACTGCTCATGAAGAGCTTTAGCAGCAGCTACAACACTGTACATTTTATCAGTTGGGCTTTGACTAAAGAAAGTTGCCCTAATCAATACAAAGTAAATATCAGCTAGAGAAAAATACCATATTTGAATACCTCATATGTGCAATAGAATCAGCAAATGGTATTAATTCATGACTTCTTAAAGCCAGTGGTACCCTAAGGGAAAAATACAAGTACATGTACACATAATACCGTATAGCAGGAAATTTTGGAGGAAGTAAAATTTGACGAATTGCTAAATTTTGGTTATTGGCGGATTTTAATTTGGCGAATTAGTGGCCACGTGCCATTGAGCATGCGTAAAATGGCTCAAAATGGCGGATTTTATTTTGGCGAATGGCTATCAAAACGCCAATTTCGCCAAATTTAATTCCCTCCAAAATTTCCCGCTATACGGTACCCAAAATAAATACAGTGTACCTTAATTGTCCAAGAGTGATATCAGAAAATTTTTTACACTGTTCCTGTATTATTGCATCATCTTCTGCTTTGCTAATGTACTTAAGGACAAAATGCTTGATACGAGGTATTACATTATGTTCAATTGCAGTCTAAAATATTTTTTTAATTACAGTAACAAATATTAAAATGATAAAATACTCACATAAATGGCTGCATAAGGCAAATCTTCACCCTGTGATGACTTGTGTCTTTCTACAATGTAGTTACACAAAACTTCAACGAAACCATGATAGCTACGTGGATGAGCTCCTCTTACTATACCTATAGATCATGTACAATAAAGATAAATTTAAGCAGCATTCTATTACCTGAACTATCATTAGGAGGCAACTGCAGTGTACCGCCTTGATACAAGTCACATTCCGCTATGTACTCTTCAATTTTAGAAGCTTCAAATGTCATCCTTTGATTACGCGGTTGAAGTCGTTCAGAAATATATGAATTGACTGGTGATGTAACAGAGTCAAGTCGACTTAAAGCATCAGTAATATTAGGATGTGTACCAATAAGACTATGGTCAGTCAGCATTGACTTTTCATAAGTAGGTTGCTGATAACGAAGTTCCTGTATGTTCCATTTCGACTTTTCAATATCATACAACTGAGCATTTAAATCATACAATTGCTGGCTTGTCTCAGCCCAGTCATAAAAACGGGAAAATTGCAAATGGAAAGGAGTCACTTGTAGTGGGTTTTCATGTGATAGCAACTGTAGCTTATCAATTACATCATTTACAAAAGACAACTTTAGAAGCAGAATATCCTGCAAAACTTCCGTAGCTCTAAGTCGTGCCCTTTTCATTTCCTGTTGTCGACGACTTTTATGATGGTCATCTCCCGTTAAACCACCACTGTCAATTAAATTTGAAGATATACTTGTGCTCAGTGCTTGCTCCTTTAGTTTCACCTCTTCCAATCGTTCATTGAGATCTATTTGCAATCTCTTGTACCTCTTGAGTGTCTTCTTCACATCCATCGCAAAATGCCGAATCAAAATGGGTGGGCTTTACATTATGCATGACCAGTTGGGCGTGGCCTACTTTTAATATTATTATGATTATTATCCACTGACTCGCAACTGGATTGACATACAGTAATATGCGAAATGAAGCGTACCTTATCTTCATCGTCTGGTAGTGACCTGGAAGAAGATCATATTTTGACACAAATAAAAGAAGTGAAATTGAAAGTATGATTATACATGAAAATGTCATGCAATTGAAAGTTTTACCCAGCAGAGGTGTGTCAATAGGCTGGCTCCACCTGACCATAATAGAGTTCATTTACTCTATTATCTATGGCCTAACTACTAGTAGACTTAGGTGTTATTTCATTCTGAACCCAAATTATTCAATGTATTTTTATGGAAAATGTCCTATACCAGCTAATAAGCCAGAACAAACTAGTCTAAACTGAAAACAGCGACTATAGACCCTTTACATTAGGTTTGGCAGTAAGCTGGGTTATTGGAATATTCGGCCTTCTTGGTATACGGAAATGGCAATTTTCAATATTACCTCTATTGCAGCTTCCTAATCCTATCCCTATTGTTGTATTGTTATCATTTATACATGTAATAATCACTTCTGTGATTAAAATGACATAGAAGACATTAAAATGTGTCTTGAAACTATTTGAGCAAGTTTCAGCCATTTGGAGGTGACGGAACTATGCCCAGCTAGAGCCTCAGTTCTGCTATTTAACATAGCCAACTTGGATCATTTAGTTATAGTGAATAAGTGTGAACATTCCCCTTGATTTTCATCTATAAAAAAGGAAAATGCTAGACGAATGTAAAACATTGAAGGGGCAAGCCTAAGCAAGCAAAGCGACGTACATACAATAGATTTTTGACAGACTAACAATACTCATGCATGATGATGATGATGATGATGATTGTGTAACTGAGCAGCCTGAGAACTTGATGGATGTACTTCATGATGATATACATATGTACCTTTGTATTCTTTGCAGCAATTAAAGTCAACTTGCTTATAGCATTTTAGTTACAAGCAGTCATTGTAAAACTGAGATACATGTAGCTATAGATAGGCAACTGTAGCAATGTAGTTTTTGGTAGTCTCGTGCCTTCTTGCTTGCTCAGACTATCTCTGGCTTCTAAAATTCACTTGATCAGAGTTATTTAAATCATTTGAATCAATCAAGAAGATGACATATCTGCTCCCTTAATATTCCTTGCTGAATTTGGATAGCAGTACAGTCTTATGACTTTTGATGGCCACCATTTTATTTCACTGTGATCACACCCATTTTCAATGAAGTTATTAAGTGTATTAAAAAGTAGAAATTTTTTCATACGAATAAATAGGGGTGATGTACGTGTACAAAAATACTTACATACTCTGCTCATTTATGTGGGACTCATTTGGGCTCACCCCAATTATTCTACCTTACTTAGCTTTTAAATGCCCTAAGCATCAATCGCCACCATTACTTAGTATAGCAACTACGCATTTGGTATACCAAGATGGCTGACATAAGAAAGACCCAACCTCCTAATTGCCCCACCTAATGCAAAGGGTCTATAAAAATTCTGTTTTATGTTTAGGCCTCTCCATTTAGATTTGTATTTTTCCTACCACATGGTGCTGTGTTCCTCCTCATTATAGAGTGGTTGCAGTAATGTCACGGTTTAACGTCATAATTACTTTTGTATGCCAAAAACTAATGAGCCTTACTATCTGGTTTTATAGACCTCCCCAGACCATCTGGGATAGGGAAAAGAAAGGAAATTTAAAGTATTGAATTTACTTTAATGTACTTGTACATGTTGCAATTGATGACAAGCATCTAATACATGAACATGTACGTTTGGTTGCACAATGGCAGGACTATTTTTGATAATTAAAACTTGTGACACATACATGTACATGTATTACTGTCTTCCAGAATACTCTTTTATGTTATGTGTACATTGTATATATATACCTAATCACTGTTCTACAGTTACTTCTGGGAAGATGGTGGACTATCATAATGACTTATGATGATTTAGTGTTATTGAATTTCCCATGCCAATTAAATGATAATATTTTTGTCAGTTACTGAATTTTTGATGCACGAGGAGACTACTTAGACTGGTAACATGTTTTCCATTATTGAACCGTTTGTAAATTTGTCTCATACAATGTAACTGTTTGTGATTTTGTTTCATAGTCTTATAATTTTTCTGCATTTTTTACTATTTTAAAAATTTTTTTGCTTTGTATTTTTAGTTGGATTGTAACTTATATCTTTATGATGCACATGTTGAGTTAATAAGCTTAACTAGACAAGTTGGTGATATACATGAAGCACGGAAAGCTCGAAGTACCATGGCTGACATCTTTCCATTAAGTGAAAGTCAGTTGATATGTTTCTTTTACTTCTGTACACTTAGTAATTTGTGTGAACATTTACATGCATGTTGTGCAAAATGTTATGTACATGTATATGCAATATGTACTGTATGTGTACATCATTAATGACTTTTGCATGTAGCACCTTGTAGCAAGTGTCTTTTGTTAGGAAACTTCATTTTTTGTTTTCCAAGCTCCTAATTCAACCTCTAAATTGCACAAAACATATAGTACACGTAGCAGCATGGGCACAGTCCTTACACCAATCATTAATACAACCCATGAAAATGAACATTCATTGTCACAAGCTTTGTACATTTATGGTGTATGTACATGTACACAAGGCTAGTATACTCTCATGATCAGTTTCTAATCCTCCTGTGGCATCACATGTACATGTACATGTATGTAGTATTTGTTTCTATGAGTCATGATTTTTTGTGAATTTTTTATTCAGAATTGTGGTTAGAGTGGATTCAGGATGAACGCACACTGTCACAAGATCTATCGTCATTGTTTGAAAGAGCAGTTCAAGATTATATTTGTAAGTATACTACTACTTAATTGTTTGTGCATAGTATGAAAGTGCATTTAGAAGCTTTTTGGCTTGTATCGAAAGGACTATTCTATTAATTACATGTACATGTACATTGTAACTTAAACTGCAGCTGTTTTTGTATTGTATTAAACTTAGTTTTTTAAATAAATGTATGTTCTTCAAATGCTTTATTTATCTTGTGTACATGCATGTGAAGTAACGAAGTTGCATGCTTTCTTTTGTAGGATAACCAAACTTATTTATTTTTAATTTTCAGTTATAAGCTCTCAGTACCTATACAGCAAATGAACAAATCCTTTTATTTTTATCAAAAAGCCTACCACTTGTGAGTATAGTATAGCATCATGTCTATACAGTATCCAGAAATCGGAAAAGAGGAGTGCTGAGGCGCGCGAAGCGCGCTTTGATTTTTGGCCACATCTCTTTTTACAGCGATAAAACGGCGTTTTATTTCATTTTTATGAATTATGGGTGTGGTCAAGATAATTTCAAGCATACTGGTACTTCTTACGACTTCTGATCTCTCCTTAAAGCACTGGAAACTGCTGAAATCATGATCAGGGGGCTAGATAACTTTGTTAAGAGGCTTGGTAGTGATGCAAGAGTTCAGGATTTGAGTAATCTTTTTCTGAGCCCAGCCATGAGGGGGGTGCTCAAGCCCCCTCAGCCCCCCCTTGGATACACTAGTGAGTGTAGTATCAGATGAATTGATAGCTGTTTCTTGCATCTCTTTTATGAAGAATATGTGTGCTACATGTAAAATAGCTGTGAAACAAAGACTACATGTATATTGCATCAATTTCCAAATAGTGATACTAGAAGTAATGTAGAACATTAAGGGGCGAGCCTAAGCTAGCAAAGCAATCATAGCACAGGATCTATCCATCTATGATCTACTCCTGATGATTTCAAAGCATGCATCATGATTTAGGCATAGCAAGCATGCATGTACATGATGAAAGCTAAAGATGATAAAATCACTTTAGATCATTTTATTTAACTTTTAGTCTTCTAGTTTAACATACACATTTCTTGCCTAAAAATGTCTGTAAAGATGCTTTACTTAGCTTTAGATATAATATTATCCAATGTTAAGGTGACTGAGAAAAAGCTTGATTGACTTTCACAGTTTTAATAGCAATTGCATCAATAAAGACGAGCTTCATAGGTTATTAATTGAATTTAAAACCTTCTATAGCTGCTGGAGAAGTCTTTGGACGGTGTATCTGCCTTATATTGCTGCTAGAAAGCTCATGAATTCTTCCAGTGTGTTGGTTGCCATTTTTATTTTACTGTGACCGCTCCCACTTTTAATGAAAAATTGAAAAATGACTTTATATTGCATTGGTAATGCATATATACATGTAGTATCTATCTACCGTATTAGAACTACGCATAAATAAGGGTGACGTATGAGGACCTACAGACAGACAGACAGATGGGGGGGCGTGACTGAGAGTCTAGCTAGAGTGGGGCGAGCTCAGGCTCGTCCCAATTATTGATCTAAAATAAATCACTTTCTTTGTCCTGACCATTTATCTTTATAGTACTTTCAATACACAATGTAGCTTGTAAACTCATTACTGTATTGTGGTAGTTGGACTTACCCCTGTTCAAAGTGGCTGCCACAACTTCTCAGCTTTGCTAGACTGATAAACCAAGAGTCCATTATGTACTCATTGTAAAACAAGGTCCTTTTTTACCAGACTTGTTGGAGGACCAAAGCACCTAATTGGCACCACTATATACATTGTACATGCATGTACATGTTGATTGTCTCTAAACCTTCTCTAAGAGGAAAGTAAAAAAACTCGGCAAAGCATCCAGCTTCTTCAGTCAACTTTCTTTCATCTCCTGTCAATCCAATTGCCCATGTGTGTCTCAGGCTGATTATGAACTGACAACAGGAACAACAAGAATACAGGATTGCACGGAAAGGTGGATGCTCTCACTGATTTTTTAATTTCAACAAGGATTCGTGTCAAGACATAAAATGTAAATTAAATTATACTTCAGTTCAGTTTTACTAGTTAGGAATGTAGCATCACTATTTACATCTTAATTCGTAGTGCATATGTTTCACTCCTTAGTTCCCTCTCATAATATAAGACCTTTTCACACTGGCAAAAGTAATGCGCATGCATTGATCTACATTAATAGTGTTCATACTAGTGTTTTCAAATTGATGCGGAACATTCTCTCACATTACCTTCAGAGGTGGATTGATGTGAAGTGATGCAGTGTGAACAATGTCAACCAAATCAACCAATGGCAACAAAAGCCCTTTATAACTGTGCTGGACTGAAAAGGCCTGTAAAGGTAGTTTGTGTAGCAATCAACATGTGCCACAATGGGCAATAATTTTTAATCTGACAGTCTCCAGAGGCCATTTCCTTGAGAAGAAATACTTTTGGTGGACAATCAAATTACTGTCACTCCTTCCTATTTAACTGAGCAATTGTATTGTACTACAAATTTGCATGTACTTTTTGTAGTAAAACTCAGCTGAATCCTCGCAGTCAATTTAAATTCTCCTTTCATGTGCTCTGGCAGAACATGGACATGTACATGTACATTTTAAGCTGCTGGAATAATAGCACGGGAACAAAGAATAAGTTGATGAAGGAGCATTTAGAGACAAACGTTTCACTCAATACGATGAAATGTATCTCACATTGCATCTGATGTTCATGTACATGTACGTTTTGATTCTTTTTTAAATCTTTGATATTTGTACCCTTCTTTTTTTTATTTTCTTATTATTAACTTAGTCATAAGCACACCTTTTTGGTGACGTTTCATTTTAATCATCTTGGTAAAAATTGGTTTGGACTTGTGATGTACGTGCCACTTGTTTCATTATCATATCCTAATTTGTACTTGCCTGTTAGCTTGAGTTCTTCCTTTTTATGATCTGTTTTACTCAGGTGCAATTAATATTTCCCTTCAGATGATGTAGTGATCGTGCATATTAGATCATGCCCCAGGATGTCACAATCAGTTAATTTGCTGAAACCTTTTTAAGCTGCTTTATCAACATGTCACTCACATTTTATTGATCGTATTGCGACAATGTATTCATTTAGGCTGGTTTTACTAACAATTAAAGACAGTGTCATGTAATGTTTGCCCCTGCCACAATTTACTGAAAGAATTAAGACTTTGATACTGTATGTTCTAACCTTTCTCATTCGAATGGCTGCAGTAGTGTCATGTTGTGCTGCACCAGTATTTTCATATTGTCCTCCTTAATCTCAAGAAGACAGGCAGTGCAATAGGCACTCAAATATCTTATAAACACAGGTACAATTTTTGTTCCAGCTTTCCCTAAGTACCTCAGGAAAGGGATGAAAGGAAGTGTGTGGCATCCTTACAAAGTGTGGCATTAAGTGATTACTGATTACTAAAACATTAAAGAGCTCAGCTCCCATCTACATGTATTAAGTGACTATTAAGTGATTACTTGATTTACTAGCCATGTTCCTGGTTTTGTATCAAGAGCATGCAGGTAATGCAAATACTTAGTTATTCCTCTAAACACAAATTACATGTACCAGCTAATACAAAGAATATTAAGTGATTGCTTTATTTAGCAGCCATGTTTGCTGAAAGTGACTGAGTACACTACATGTATATGCAACTACTGGCATTATAGTCTGTGTATGTGCTTGTTTTAAAAGCAACCTTTGGTGTTCTGCAGGATTTATGTATGTGACTATATACTATACATGTAGTTACTGTAAGATCAAAGAGACCGCTGGGTATGATATAAGCAAGGTTCTATCTAGGAATTTTTGTTTGGGGCGGAGCCCAGAGCAATTGACAGGGGTGGGGGAGGTTGTGTACATACACCTACATGTATGTGCATACAGTACATGCATGCGATTACAGAAGTACACAGGGAAAACTAGAGTTTGTGGGAAGCTTCACCCCTGCCCCCACTTGATAGAACCCCAATAAGCCAGATCAACCTATAATAACCACAGCTAGTTGACAATTATTCATTAGGTCTAATACCGGTATGAAGATAGTGAGATTCATTGGGTATGTATCAGTTTACCTACAATATACATGTATATAATCATCTTAACCCACTCTGTCTCTTCCTTTACACGTTCTAATGGCACATGCAGTTTATACATAACACGCATAAATATCTTCTTAGTATGTATCAGCAATATAGGACCCTTGCCTGTCAGTATCTACCCTAGGCTTCACCTCACACAGATATTTCTGAGCTTGGACTGATGCACTCCTCAAAGCCATGTCATGTATATTATTAAGTAAACTATACTCATGAATGATTCCCTTTCATGTATACCTCACTAATTAATGACGACTTGCAATTTTGTAAATCCTGCTGGAGGGAAGCCATAATTTGAGCATGAACTTTTATATGTAAAGTGAGAATAAATGATGGAATGAGAATATAGCAAGTAGCTACTAACAGTTTATGTAGCAATCAGTTATGATTGATATTAACAGCACAATTACTAAAATTGTGCTCATGGCCATTTTTACTTTCTTTAATTCCTTGTCAGTTTCATCTGAGACTGCAGGTCTTTCCCTACTCAGCTTTAGCTGCTGGCTTGAGCTGACAATCATCTCTGTCTGCTCTTTTCTGTATTTTGTTACTCAGATTTATAGTCTCCTTTGTAGTTTGTTACTCAGATCTAGTTGTTGGCTGTGACTAAGGTCTTTGTAGGCCCATACATTTCCAACACTTCTATGCCCTCTAGTAGGCCTAAGCTTATTTTCTTTTGCTCCTTCCTGGAGCAATTTTGTGACACAGGTCCTCCTTAATGAATGGTTTCTATAATCCCCTTCACCTCCTACTTTCTCAGGCAGCTTCTGAACCATTTTGCTTAGTGTATTAATTGTGTCCAAGAGGCCTAGTTTCATACCAGCATGAAGGAGTTGGTTTCTGCAATGGTTGTGAGTAAAATATGTCATTTGGTGGAATTAACAAGTTCACATCTGTATTTCCAATTGTTTCAGATCCTTATAGCTTGATCCAGACCCTTCTTGAACGTGATGCATGACTCTTGAGTCTTGACTTTTTTCAAAACTTCTCAGTCAGTTACTGGTGCAGCAAAGCAACTCACTGCCAACGGCAAATTCACATCTATGCTAGAATTTATGGTCTGCATGTCAGCTGACAAAGTGTCTTCATTGTAGTCATCTTTCTCTTCTGAGCTATAGGTATCCTTTCTATGATTGCCAGCATCGTCATCACCACAAGTATGGTCTGCAGCATCATGGTCACCTCAATGCAATGGGTCATTATTATCTAGTCTAGTAAGATATTATCTTTTGACATGTTGCTAAAGAAAGCAGCCAGTTAGTCTTTCTCAGTCAGGTCATACTTGATCTCATCTGCTAAACTTTCTTTTGCCATCTCGATGATCTTGATAATGTTTCCTGCATGGTAGGAAGCATAGGGAGGCGCATTGCAGCTTTGTAATGCAGGAGGCTCCGCCAGATTACATAACCTCACTTTACAGGGCCCGACTGAATCAGGCCACATGGCTTATGAAAGGATTACGAAATCTTAAACCCTTGGGCTTCCTCATGGTCAAAATTTTGTTAGCCCTAGTCGGTGTTAAATCTACTTTTGTATGTTTTTTTATGTAAAACCGGTGCATACATATGTACCTGACACTCCAGAAAGTATCAGATATTTCCCTACCTTTGTCCTTTACTTCATAATAGTATTGTCCCGAAATGTTTGACGTAAATGTATCCCACAGGATTCACTTCCCTAAGTTCTCTTAATGAAGAGAATTAGTCTGTGCTTGTAAACCAGGCATATTTGTAATGATACCTACATCTATTGTGTAGATCTGAATAAAATGTGAACTTCCTGCTAAGCAAATGCAACCTCTTCTGTGGTTCTCTGCTTGTGAAATTTTATGATGATGATGATAATTGTAAATTTTTTATGCCTTTGTAAAAATATTTTAATGATCTACATTTTATTCTCACTATAGCTGTACCACTCTGGTTGGAATATGTGCAATTTGCAGTAGATAATATGTCCAATGATTTTGAATATCCTCGAGCAATATATGAAAAAGCCATTGTAGCAGTTGGATTGCATACCAGTGAAGTAAGTGCACACTTGTACATACCTTTTGATAAAAGGGAGTGGAGTATAGTATTTTATATTCCCTGTAGTGGCATATCATGCATTATAGTGTAGTGTGCATGCACATACAGTGTACATGTATATCTATAATTTCAATTGAATTAATTGATTTTCAACCTGGTACTTTGCTATCATTGTCCTTTTAATTAAGTCTCTGTGAAATATTGAGCTGTTTTAATTACTGGAACATAAAAATTACTAGTAGTATACCTGTAGTTGTATTAGAAGCTGTTGTATTGATGTATCAATTATAATTCATGAATCAAATTATTATTAATTGTAATTTTACTGATAAATAGAATTAAAATTTAAAACTTAATGAAAATTCAGTTGCTGTAGTGATTTTATTTATATTACGAAATACATGTACATACATGTATATATGTATGCAGTATGATTTGGAGGACTCACTTTCAATTGGTAGCAATAAAGTAGCATTGTTTTTAGGGAACTTTGATGTGGAATTCATATAGAGAGTTTGAGAATGCTATTTTTGTGTCACTGAAAGTTAGTGTGTCTTTGTGTCTATCAAATGATTTTATGACTTTTAAATAACTTCTAGGAAGTTCAAGATAGCAATCCTAATGATACTGACATTGCTAGCCAAGTGTAAGAACCTCAATATGCCGTTTTGTCATTCATTTTTCTGTTAGTGAAATTCAATATGAAAGAATTATCAAATTGTTTAAGAGGCAGCTCTCTATTCCATTAATTGGTAAGTTGTAAATATTGGCAATATTCAAAGTTGCATACTCTTTTAGGACATGAACAAGCATTCATAGATTATCAAGCGTTTCTCAATTTGGATCTTACTGAAGACTCTTTACCTAGTTATATTCTAGCTACTAAAAGATTAGAGCCTATGCTGCTTTTTGAGCAACAACTGGTACACACTAAGATTTATTATCAAATGTAGCAACAATTTTGTTTGTGCATAATAGTCAATGCAGGCAAATGAAGAAACATATCAAAACTATGTTAAATTTTTGTTGGAACAGAAAGAAGATTCTACTGTGATTGATATTTTGTATCAGAGAGCTATTGCTACATTTCCCCTTAGCACTGATTTGTGGACGCAGTATCTAAGCTTTTTAGTAAATTTTACAGTAATTCTCTTGAATTTAATCACTTCTATTTAGAGTAGTAACTTTTCAAGTGTTAAACTCGTACTACTAAAGGGTCATGAACAGGCTGTCAGAAATTGCCCATGGATGCCTGAATTTTGGATTTCATATTGCCAAACACTGGAAAGACTACTTGAACCTCATGATAAAATAATTAGTGAGTCTATTTTTTAAACCAAAAATATTTTATAGAATTGAAAATGAAATAGCTACTTTTGAGAGGGCTCTTTCTGACAATTACACTGAAGGAAATAGTTATTTTCATGTATGGAGAGCTTATTGCGATTATTTTCATAGAAAAGCTTCCAGAAAAACCTCAGGTAATATATAGGTATACTACTAAATTACTTATGAATTGATTATTTAGGTGAAGCTGAGCTTGAAGACTTAAGAGCTTTATTTTGTAGAGCTAGAATCTTTCTGAAAACAAGTGAAACAAGTTCCACAACTTTATTATTGTATTGTACATTGCAATAGATTTTCCTAAAATTACTGATTTTATTGACTCTCTTAATTGCTACGAAGCAAGTGTGGAAGCACGTTTTTATGATAGCATAAGTAAAGCAAGGACTTTATGGAATGATGTAATGACTCGTCATGGAAACCAGTGTGAATACTGGCTCCAATACATTGAGTTAGAAAGGTACAATGTTTAAATTTTGCACTTACATACATAGTGTCTAAAAGCATTAAATTTCTTCAATTGATGTATGTACAGTACTTCTAGATATACAACATTATGAAAATTAGTAGTGTTTTTTACCTTAAAGTGAACAAAAATTAAAGCAGTACACAAATTTTTTAAGTGTTCTTATCTAAAAAATTGTTTTAAGTTGCTGTCTCAGAAAAATCAATCTGAATTGTTATATTGCCTTTAAGCATTACTACTTAGCCTGTCATTGCACTTGCTCAGTTAAGAAGATGTACATGTACATGTAACTTTGCAAAAACTTCATTCAAATTAATTTCATTTCAATCATGTGCACCTACATGTACATGTACTTATACATTTGCTCATTCATTCATATCAAACTATTTGGCTTCCATTAATTTTATTAATGCAGAAATTTTGGAGAGTTATCCAACTGTCGTAAGTTGTTCTTTATGTCTATTAATTCTGTAAATGATGACCCTGATAAAATATGTTCTTCATTCTTACAATTTGAAAGAGAGCAAGGTAAAATGTTTTTTTATAATTTTTGTTTTGAAAACACTTCATAGGAACACTGGAATCATATCTGGTAGCAGCTAAGAAGTGTTCTGCTCAACTAGATCGGATTAAAGAAAGAAGACAAAAGGTTTGTGTTTGTATGCACATGTACAATGTACATAATACTACATATATACATTCATTTGGTAGTATGTTGTATCTTGTACATGTATATGCAATTTTTAGGCTTCGGAAAAAACTGTAAACAAAAGGCAACAGAAGTATTCCAAAACAGGTACATGTACCAAATATTGTTTATAGTTAACCATATAGCACGTTTATTTTGCAAGTTAAAAAATAATGAGTATTGCTTTAGATTAAAGTAGCTTCAGAATAATTTTGCAAAGAAATGTTCTAGGTAACAGGGTGCGGTCACTGATATGCAGACACCCTTGATTCAATGCCTAGCTGGAGCTGGCATGTTGTTGTACATTGTACTTAAAGATTACCTCAAGGTTGCTTAGTTGCTTCGTTGCCTATAGGTACAAATTTAATGCCGTATGTCATCTCAATTAGAGCAGAAAAGTAGCATACACAGCAAAAAATAAAAAAACAATTAGCATTAAAATGATTAAATCTTATTATGCTAGTAAAATAGAGTCTGGGTCAAGTTCAAAAATTAGGCCTCACTGTGTACATGGGTATGACACTAAGAGAGAAAATTGTAAATGGTAATTGATGATCATCATCAAATGCTGCACCCCTCAATTTCTACAGACTATAGCTAGTGTGAAGCACCCAACTGAAAATTTCTAATTGTTTTGTGGCTCATACCACTGAACCTTAATTAGTAAGTACCCATAAATACATGTATGTACATGTAGCTTTCAAGGCAGCATTTTTTTATTGAAGTTGTTTAAGTTGTTAGCAATATCTAAGTTGATTGTTTAGGCCCTTTAAGTTTGTTAGCAACATCTTGCAACAATTTATGATACTTGACAAACTAATAGTGCATGCCCTGGAAGCCCACTATCTCAACTAATAGTAGTCAGTGTGCTACATTGAACACAATATATTATGTGCATGTACATGTACATTAACTATGAGTATGAGAATTAAATTTTTACAAAAATTGCTGTAATAGATTTATTTGTATTAGTACTTTTAGTTTATTCAGTGGTCTAATATTGATCACAATAACATGTTATTTCTGATTTTCATTAATGAAATTCAATGGATTATCAAAAAGGCAATACAGCTATTTCAGTTAACACTGTTCAAATATAGCATAACATTGTTCAAATTATAACTGGAGTGTAATATAGGCTGATTGACTTTATTCTAATAATTGTACTAAAATTTTAAATCATGCTTGTGCAATAAATATTATTATTACTAGGCGAATGTAAAACATTGAGGGGCGAGCAAAACGATTAACATTTCCATTAGCAATATACAATGTTTATATAGACAATGATGTAGTGGCTATTAAATGTGGAATGTCAGTGTCAATACACTAATGCAGAATTTGCAAGCATGGAAGGAATTTCATAGCTTCTAGCTTTGAGTGAAGAATTTCTGCAGTTATATAGATCTAGGATGGAAGATGGTTGGTCTCAGAAGCCAGAAGGAGACTCCATTTGTTGTCTTTGGGTGCAACAAGACCATCTCTAGCATTTCTGTTGGACCTCCTCGCTCTTTTTTCCTCCTCATGCTCATTACAAAGAAGTCGACAAGCTTCATGAGCATCTTCTTGTGAATTACTCATGCTTTAAGCTTCAGCTTCTCTTGTTTTTGAATACTCTTGTCTCTTGAACTCCTGTTGTCCAGTAATTACTGAAGTTGCTCTTTGTTTTTGCACGTACCGGTACCGTAGTTATCAAAATTATCATTTTAAAATGTGTGATTATTAATTTTTATAGACGCATAAATAGAGGTGTCGTACATGTACAAACAAACAGACAGACATACTCGACTCGACTATGTGGGGCTCGCTTTTGCTCGCCCCAATTATTACTATTATTATTATTGTTATTATTGTTGTTTTGTTGTTATTATTATCACTTTTTAATATTATGTGAAGAGCATCGACAAACCATGTATCCAAAAGAAAATACAGAGAGAGACAGAAGTGCTAAAAGAAGAAAAATGGAAGTTCCATCATATGTTTTTTTTACTGAGGAAAGTAGCAGCAAAACTAAATGTTCAACTGGAGCTACAGGTAAATGTTATCATTTTACATGTAAGTAATTTTATTTGAAGTTTTAGTCACAGAAATTAAACCTCATGCAATGAGTAAGAAGAAGATTGATTCAAAGAAACTTGAAGTTAATGAGGAAAATACAATTTTTGTGAGCAATTTAGCTTCTGATACCGATGAAGATCAACTTCATAAGTTATTTTCACAAGTACATCCATCATTTTTTATTTTACTTTTTCTCAGTGTGGTCAGGTTGCTGATGTACGTTTGATTAAAAAATTTGGAGGTAAATTCGGAACTAACGTTTACGCTTACGTTGAATTTACTACAAGTGAGCCTACTGTGGAGGCTCTAAAATTAGACCATACAGTGCTCAATAGCCGTGCTATTTATGTGTCCTCTTGCAATGCTGATAGGCAAAATAAGGTATTTTATTTCACTTTCTACTGTATTTATTGTAATTGTTTTAGTATAATAACAAGGCTACGGTTTTTGTTACCAATGTTGCTCATGATCTTTCTGAAAGGGATTTAGAAGATATCTTTAAAGAAGTAACTTGAGTAGTAGTTTGTATGAACACTGTTGTTGGTTAGGTTGATCAGGTGAAAGCTGTTAGACTGGTACGAAATAAAAAAGGACGATCTAAAGGATTTGCTTACATTGAGTATGACACAGAGGTACAGATCATAATGTTTTTTCTGTCACTTTTCAAATAACACTAGTCATCAGCTAGGGCAGCTGTTTTTCAGTTAAATGACAGGGAGATGGCAGGAAAGAATATTAAGGTGGCTATATCCAAACCTCCAGCTAGCAAGGAACTACCAGTTGCTCAAAAGAAGGATCCTTTTACAAGGGATGTTCACATGAAAGAGACTAATCTCCCCAAAGCATCACCAAGGTTTGTAGGCTTGGCACTATGAATGTATTAATAGGAAGGGGCATGACAAAACCAATGCATCAATTACATGTGTACATGTAGCAGGAAATTTCATGTTGCTTACTTCATACAAATTTGCTTCTTAGAATCAATTACTTATGTGACAAAACATTTTATCCTACTACATGTACAAGACCATGCATACAGTATGAAATTCAATGGGGCATTTAATTTCATGCATTTAATGGTAATTTTGAATCCATGACGATACTTAAAAACTCACTGTGAATGCACAGCATCTTATGTACTAAATGCATGTTGCACTTGCATGCAATAACACATTTTATCTCCTCAAATTTAATCTTTAATTTCATGCCCATTCAGTATATTTATAACACATACAGTAAATCCTTGAGTACTTTAAAATGTTATGTTTTTTACAATACTTTTTCGTTATGTAGGAGAGCACTCACATTAGATGCAGCAAAATCAGCCACTACTTCATCAGACTCTGACATTGCTGTTACAAAGAAAAGTAATGACGAATTTAGGCAAATGTTCTTAAAACATTAAAAACAACAATAATTAGGTATTACTTTTAAATTGTAATTATTATCAAAATAAACAACGTTGATGCTAATAGTTTTATTGACTGCACAAGTAACAGAGGAGTGTTGCTACAACAAAAACATTCACACTATTGCCTAGTAACTTGTAGCACTGTTTATTTGACACACTTGTGGGAAAAGTATGACTTGCTGGAAATGACATTAATTTCGCCACCTCTTGAGGAGTAAAGTAACGGAGTTTCAGTTCTTTTAAGGATTTGATGCCGTCACAATTATTCTTCTGCTCTGCATAACATTGGTACGCTAGAGCTAGATCTACAGAGCAGTCATGATGTAGCACAGAGCCAGTACCAACTGCATAATGATAATATCCTCGAGTAAAACAACAAGATGAATGAGATTTTGCTGACACTATGTCTAATCCTTGTGCATATTTTTCTAGAATTCTATCAGGGACTAAAAATTGTTGTACATCTATTTCTGATAGATCATCCAAGTAACTTGAAATGTCACACTTTAGATGTATGTCATGAAAACTGGTTGGAATGTAATATTTCAAATGCTCTACAGTGTCTTGTAATGGAGCTGCTTTAAAATTTCGTGGCGAAAGCCTGGCAAGAAGGTAATACCGCAGTCTTGAATTGGGAATACCAAACTGCTTTGGTGAAATTAAGTATTCTTGAAATGTATATCCCAGTTCCTTCAGGACATGTACAAAGTGTCCTCTTGTCCTTGACAACTCGAATCCCTTAACATTTTCCATCATGATATATTGAGGCGGCTTTTGCATTGCACTTAAGATACCCATTAAATGGAAAAAACTATCAGTCCTATAATCAATGTCATCTTCATTTTTCCCTTGCCGAGTAAAAGGTTGACAGGGCGGAGAGAGTGTAAACAAATTAGCTAAGAATGAATCTAGCTCTTGTGCGCTTAAACCTAAAATATTTCTCTGAAGTACTTTGGTATTTGGAAAGTTGTGCTTGTAAACCTGATTAGCAGTAGTGTTGATGTCAACGGCTGCTAATATCTTCAAATTCAGTCCAGTTTCCCGAATGGCATAATGCCACCCTCCTATTCCAGAGTAAAACTCGACGACTCCTAGTGATTTGGAAGGGAGTGGCTCTTCAGGATCTGTCTTAGATTGCATCTTTTTGACAACTATTTCCTCTATTATTTCCGAGATTATTTCTGCCATAATCTTTAGAAGTGGTAGGCCGAACCATGGGTGCGGTCACCTCAGGGTGTGGTGATCTCACGTGACGACTCTTCCCTGCATAGCGCATGCAATTCCAACCACCCTCAGGTACCCTTGTCATGGTATATCTTTTCTTCCTGTTGGCTGTGCTTGGTCATGTCCTTTCTGCCCCACTTGCTGCTGAAGAGTGTTCATCCAGTGTTGTTTTGGATGGGAAAACTGTGAAGGTTACCTCTCTTTTAAGTAATCACAGGTGTTCCCTGTCTCACTTATTTGAGTCGTTCTTTGAGGATGATGATGTTCTAACCAGTACTGTAGGAGATGGTTTTGCTCACAAGGTTTGTGTTGGTTTTTTGGAGTTGGTAAAAGTTGGAGAAACTGGGAGCCTTCTACGAGAAATTTGTTTACTGGCTAAATTTACAAGTTCAGAAGAGGTGAGTTATGGTAAACTTCAATAATCTCACCGTCTAGGCCTGATTTTATTCCTCTTATGCTGGAGTTGAATTAGTTCAACTCTAGTGTAATTATGCATTCATAAAATGTCAATCCACCCATATTTTTTCTTAAAAATTGATGCTGTATTGGCCTAATGCCTTATAGGCCAGTTGGTGCTAGTACATATTAATAGAATTTTAAGTCTATTCATCATGATACCGTAAATAAAGTAAATTTTTCCTGCCACCATTTTGGAGTCCTACTTCCAATGGATGTCTATGGAGCCATCGTGAAAAGAGCTTATTCTCTAAAGACTGCTGTATTTATTCATTAAAGCAATCTTGCTATTGCGTACTGACCATCATCCAGTGTCTAGATTTGGCTCATGGGCTTTAATAAGTGCCACTAGGACCTATAGAAGCAAAGATATTGCTTTCTCCCATTCTGCTCTTAGTAACTAAGACTTGAAAATGGCGGTAGGAAAGTTTTACTTTATGTACGGTATCACGATGAATATGCTTCAACTTCTATGAATATACTTAGTACCAACTGGTCTAATGTAAATGCACCTGTAATGCTAGTCGGATCATGTCCCTTTGCCAAGAAGAGAGAATGGTCTGGTGACACTGCTTCAGAATTTGTTGCAAAAAGGAATGCAATAATTAGTAGTTATTTTTAGTTATTAAGTATTATAATCACATGACTGTCGCGTGATAACCTTTCTTTTGAGGCTTTTTTCTGGACTTGTAAGCCTCCTTAAGTGAGGAGAGCTACAGTAATAATAGGCAAGAAGCAATGATCAAAGTTCTAGTAAATTGAAGGGCAGCATCTTTGGGATGATAACAGAAACCCGTGTACTTTTTAACCAAGTTTCACATGAGATATCATTTTATTCTTCTGCTACTTCATCTAAAGTTAGTTTTGTTCCTTTGCCAGGAATCATCATATCAATAGCAGGTTTGATAGTCATACTTGCAGCCATTTTGAACAGGTCATGTCACTAAGTTACTTCCATGTGAGTGTAGTAACCTGATTAGTGCCCAAGATTTGTGCACAGTGCAACAAATTCTGTAGCAGTGTCACCAAACCCTTTCCTTTTTGCTGAAGGGGCGTGACCAGACTACTGTAATGCTAGTTGTGGTAATCATTAATCAGTGTGGTATTAGTAGTGTAACGATGTTTGCCTGATTTCCTTACTCTTGCCACTGTTATTGGAGCTTTCTATTTACCATAAAAGTGGAATATTTTAAGGTGACTTTAATTTTACGAAAGGTAGTAATTTTTTTAGTTATATTAATTTCTAGTAGCTTACATGTAAACCGTAACATTAAAAACAAGTTAAAATTTAGAAATTAAGTAATAAAAGTATTAAAGTATTTTACTTTTACGTTATGTACATTTATTTTTGTGTGTAATATAATCTTGTATAAAGCTTTTACATGTACTGCTTTAAAATGAAGTACACATGTACATGTACATATGGTGCGAAGCTGAGTGTTATGTGTTACTTGTTTTGTGATAACTATAGCAAGCAGTTTGAAAAAGCCATGGGACATAGCTTTTTCATGTCCCATGGCTTTTTTTCCCAAAGAAGAAAAGCTGAAATTTATTTAGCATCTTTAGCTCTATATATTGACAGTAAGAGTCAGCGCAAAACTGTTTTAAAACTAGCTAAGAGAATTTGGTTGCTACTGCTTTCCCTAGTGCCACATGAGTTCTTCTCAGTGTCTACAGGTATCGCAAACTTTGAGCAGCTGTATTCACAAAGAAGTGAGAACAGAAATCTGTCTTTTATTTCTTTATTCATTATGTTTTTTTACCAAAATATGGCCTTGGGGAGTGAAACACGAGCTCTCACTTGGGGACTGGTCACCTGGTTTTACAGTTCCCAGCTTTTGTTGCCAATAGATGCTACAAGAGCATAAAATAAATGCTACAAGAGCATCATTAGATGACAGGAATTAACTTAACAAGGCAGTAGAAAAAATATGGCTCTGGAGTGCTCAGTCAAAAGGATCTATTTTTTTGAATTAATTTTGTTAACAGAATGACAATCCAGCTGCTTAGTACCAGCAAGTACCACAAGGTGGAAACTATTGACTTCTGTAAATTCCAAACACACTGACATGCATACATGTACATGTATGTGTAATTGGACTCGACTCTATCCCAATTACATGTATCAGTGTGTTAGGAACTTATAGATAATAGTTTCCACACGCTTTCATGCTGTAATACATGTACATGTACATTGTACTTGTACCAGTTTATAATAGTGTGTATAAATAAGTGACTATGATACCCTGCTGAATATGAGAATTCATAATTATCTAAGTCTTTAAATTACTGCAATTTTGTTAATGTTATTCAGTAATTGTGACTTCTGAAGAAAATTGAAATGCACCAGTAATTGTTGCTGGATATGGGTTATACCTTAAGGAGACAATTGTTTGTGGGTATTTAATTTAGCAAATCTTAGTGATTTTTTAAAAATTGCTAACTTAAGTCCGCGCTAACTGTAATTTGTGATTAGCCCTAGTAATAACTTCATTGAAAGCAGATGTAGTCACAATGAATAAAATGGCCACCGTCAGCATGTCTGAGCTTATTTGCAGCAAACGTTCAGCAAGATAATACTAAACTGCTTTCCAAAGACTTCTGTAGCAGTTAGCTTAGGTTAACAAAGCAAATGACAATCTTCTTCGTTCAGTGACTACTTCTAACTGTAAGCAAGATCACTTTACATGTCAATGGCTCCAGAGTCAGTGATGAATTAAGCAATTTAAGCAAGATTAATGCAACAAGATCTACTGTATTTAGACTTGTGCAATTGCTTTGCTTGTTTATACTGTACATGTAGATCACAGCACATAGTCTATAGCTTGCTTAGGCTCGCCTCTTGCATGTTTTACATTCTTTTAGTAGTTATTAATACCAAAATGATCAAAACGCTAAATTAAGCACCAGCCAAATGCCAGTATCATGGAAATTGCTACAATAAGTACACACGCTAATAATTGTCTGGTTATTTGTTATGCAGTACCTGTAGTAACCCTGCCCTATTGGAAACTCTCCTCCAACCCTTGTCCTTATAGTCTTTAGGTCATAATATTGACTTTTGTTGGACCCGCGAAATTAATGGGCCACATAGATATCTTGCAATGGTACATGTGTATTTGTAATGTATGTACCTACAGTACCACCCAAATGCGGCTTCTATTTAAGGATATACGGTACATGTACATGTTTATTGTTAGTTGTTAGTTGTAGCACATGTTGTAATATTGTACTTGTAGTACATGTAGTTACGTGTAGTTGTACTTTTGCACGCAGCCATTTTTGTACATTTGCTTGCATGACCTCTTGACATACACATTAAAGTTATATCATGCATTCATGTAGTGTACATTTCAGTAGCCAGTTTACTTTCGTGAAAATATTTCATGTACAAGTATGTGTAGATCCTGTATTGTACTTGTACATGTATATAAGGTTATCTGTTTATTTTGTGTTTATAGTTGTGTAAATTTAACTTAAAGTATGTAATTTTATTGCTCACACACTGCAAAAATACTACTTGTATGGTACATCTGCACTTACATATACATGTATTTTCTTCTAATGAGGGCATGTGTCCTATAGCATTTTCATGCTTTTCAGTAAGAGCTTAGAAGTCAAAGACTTTGCCTAGATTTTATTTGTAGTGACTTAATTTTGTGACCTTGTTCTCTATGTTATAACCCTAATTTCCTTGAGTTTCACATGCAAGTACTTCTAAAGTGCTTGTTTTCATTTATCTCATGTTCATGTGTACCGGTAACTTACATACATGTACATATACATGTATGTGTAAAACATTTACGTTGATGTACATGTATGCCCATGACATTAACGTTTTAATATTTTGCAGTTTCATTTTGAGCTACCAGTATTAATTTCTTTTTAGCTTAATTTCTCTGCTAAGTAATGCTTTGTCATGAACTCGTGATATTGGTTTTAGTAAGTATTACAGTATTTTTTGGCAGTACTGCATGTACTGTACATGTAAATAAGATATGAAATATTATTGCCTAATAAAAATTAATTAAATCATGTCATAGTTAATGTCATACATGTATGTGAAAATGACTGAAATGATTAAATGTGTTGAAGCAAAAGGAGTAAGAAGGCTCTCCTTTACTGCCATACAAATGTGCACTGTTTGTAATGATTATTTTCATGAGTACAATCACATGTAGTTGAACATTACCATGATACTTTTGTTAAAGGAAAGCCTCAATCATTAAATTTTAGCTATACTACATGTATACATAGTCCTGCCTATGGTTGTCGGGGGTGTTCGGCAAAACCAACTCAACAAATGAACCAACCAGTTCATCACTTAGACCAACCATGCAATAGATACTAATAACCATACATAAAGCATGACATTGTAGTCTATTAGTTTGGTACGTGTACATGTGCATAAATTTAAAAGAAACAATATTATAGTCTCCAGCCACCTGTATTTTTTTTCTTGGCAGAACCCTGTTTATGATATTTTATTGCAATCTGAATGTCTTTGTGATAAATAATGATAAGTTTTTGTATCATTAAAGTTTATAATACTGTGTAATATACATGTTATGCTTAATGTACAGCATACATGTATGTACAATTTTTTAATTTTTATGTTCTTTGTAGTTTGTACAGTACATGTACTTGCATCAATTGTCCTAGGTTGTACTCTTCAGTCTTCAGCTCTGTTTTTCTTTTAGGATTATTGTCAACGTAGCATAGATCAAAATGTTCCAGATATTAAGAAGTTAATTAATCTATCTTCCTCATTATTGCTGCCTGATGGTTATCGTTCTGCACTTGAGATATTATCTACTCTAGATAGAGTAAATTGTAATGGCATCTGTGGAGGAAGGAAAACTGTGTTGTGTGACACAGTTGTTGAACTTGGTAAAGCTTTTTCAATGGCTAAATCTTCTTCTATTACAGGTACATTTTGTTGAAGTGTAGTAAATTAAAATCTGATTTTTCATTCATGTATGGCATTACAATTGCAAGAGTTTGTGTAACAAATATTTATATTCTATTGTTTTGATGTTGATAATACATGTATAATGTACCTTTTTTTATTGGGGCGAGCCTGAGCAAGCCCTAAGTGCAAAAGCAATTAAGAAAATGTCTGTTTGTACTGGCTAGTCATCTAAAGTTCAATATTGTAGTCTTTTTGGAAGAAAATGTGGTCACATGAAATAAAGTGGCAGTTATCAGCAATTCCGAGCCTATTTTGCAGGAAACAGTCAGCATAGATAAGGCTCTTTTTCTGTCCAAAGACTTCTCTAGCAGTAAGGAAAGTTGGGGAATGCATGTATACAATCTTTTTCTTATAATAAAGGACTCTGATGAGTTCAATGCAATATGAAACCTGCATGTGCAGCTAATTTCTGCTTTGCCATGTCCCTGTTCTTTAGCAGCAAGGAATGTTAACAAAGTAGATGTACATGTACATGTACGATATACATGTACATTGTACTTCAAACAGGGATATGGCAAGCACTTGAGTGCTTGTGCTTAAAAATTCTTTAAGCACATTTTTACAAGTGCTTCCAATGCTCTCAAGCACTTAATCTCATTAAAGCACAAATGCTTGTGCTTGTGCTCTATCACTTTGCTTTGATAGTGCTTGTAAGCACATTTAAAGCATTGGCAGTATTTTGAATTGGTAGCACCATTCATTAACTTAGCATTGGGCTCTGCTGTACTTCAAAATATGATTTCTTAGCAACTGCATGCTTCTAGCTTTTTAATGCTACATATATAAACAAGGTTACATGTACTTTGTTTGCTGCAGAGATTCTTTAGTGATGAAGTCAGTGATGGAGAAAAATTTATGTTTTTAAGCAAGATAATCAACTGTTTTGATGAAGGATGGTCATACAGGACATGCACGAGTTGCTTGCTTAGGCTTACCCCTTAATGTTTTACATTCTTCTTGTAATTATGTTCAATTTTTCTCTTTTATTTTTTAATTCAGACAAAAGCAGTGCAAATCGATCTCATTCTGACAGTGGTAAGATACATACATGTATTGTAGATCTATAGTTATGATTTTTATTAATAAAGAAGCTGCTGCAGTCAATGAAACAAGAAGCCTTTCGACAGGAGTCACTATCAATAGTAACGGCCTTCCTAAAACAGAAAATGGTACTGGTTCCTCAAAAACTCAGTTTAATAGCACCAAAGGAACTACTTCAAAGCAACTTCCTAAGATTACAGGAGACCATAATTCTAATAAGCGTTTTTCATCTCCAGACAAAAATGTTCCCTCTCAAAGGCCTTCTGGTGGCCAAGGCCAGCAACTTGGCACAGAGCAAACCAATTTATATCAACAAGTCAGTGATCCAAACAAAAAGTCATCATCTACATATTCAGCAAGGCGCAGTCCAAATATTCCTGGACAGCCTAATTTGTATCCACCAGGACGCAATCCGAATGTTCCTGGACAACCTAAATGGTATCCAACAGAACGCAATCCTAATATTCCTGGTCAGCCTAATTTGTATTCAACAGGACAGAATCCAAATAGTCCTGGACAACCTAATTGGTATCCAGCAGGGCGCAATCCAAATATCCCTGGACAGCCTTATTTGTATCCAACAGAACGTAATCCAAATATTCCTGGACAACCTAATGGGTTTCAAACAGGACGCAATCCAAATTTTTCTGGACAGCCTAAATGGTATCCAACAGGGCGCAATCTTAATATTCCTGGACAGCCTAATTTGTATCCAATAGGACGCAATCCAAGTATTCCTGGACAAGCTAATGGGTTTCAAACAGGACGCAATCCGAATATTCCTGGACAGCCTAATTTGTATGCAACAGAACGTAACCCAAATATTCCTCGACGACCTGATTCATATGGAAAAGGACGTAATCCAAGTTTTCCTGGACAGCCTAATTTGTATTCAACAGGACGTAATCAAATTAACCCTGGACAGCCTCTTCAGTATCCAGCTCAAAATAATCAAAATATTCCTGGAGGGCCTTTTCAGTATCCAATGGGTCGTAAACAAAATGTTACTGGTCAGCCTGCTCCACATCCGAGTAAACAGAGTCAAAATCAAGGGACTCAAGGTGCCTCTACATTGAATCCTGGAGGAAGTAGACCCAATCAAAACACTCCAGTTGGATCTTCTAATTCAAGTGCAAATTTTCATAATCCCAAAGTTACAGAAGATAATATACAGAATCAAAGGAATCCTTTGGAAAAATCTGGCCCCCAGAATCAAGGAAAAAGTGATGAAGATGTTGTCAGCAACCAATTCAACAAGACACATATAGTGCACTTTCCTGTAGATCCTGAAAACAAAGGACCATTGCCACCGGATTTGGGTGGAGAAAAGAGTAGTACCAAAAAAGGTATTCAAAGTACAGATGCATGTATGTGTTTACATGTGCTTACGAATGATTGCTGTATAATTGTTTTGTTTCCAATTTTGTATATTTTTTTATTCTTCTCTGGATGCTTTTACCTTAGGTGAGGAACTTGATAAAAGTGGCAAAAAATCTGAAAGTGGAACAAAGCCAAGTGGCACTGAAGCAAATGATCTGCAAGAAGGCCAGACAAAAGATGATCTACCCGGTGAGACCAATAGTGATATTGTAATTGATAAAGAAAAGCAAAGCATTGAAGACAATTTGGAGCAAAACAAGGAAGGTAAAGATGGCAATAGAAAAAATGATGATGCTTTTGTGGATGTTAAGAAAGAACAAGAGGATGGTATGATTTATTTTCTGCCTGTATATACATGTAGTTGCTACATGTATTATTTGTTTTAGATACTCTGACTTCATTTTCCGAGGGTGCTGAAGCTAATCAAATGAATGCTGCACTAGAGGATAAGAATAGTAAGTATTTCGTGTATCTCATTTATTATTCTATCTATTATGTACCAGATGCTGATTCCTTTCAGAATTTTGATTCTTTTTCAAATGATGAAAGTACAGTAGTGCCGATTATCAAAATTATGCTATTACATGTACATGTACATAGGTGAGAAAGGAAATAAGGACTTTCAAGAACCTCTTCCAAATGAAAGTAAAGCTATTTATTATTGTTATGTTAGGTACATGTAAAAGTGTCACAACATCCACTTACATGTAGTTGTGATGTTATTACATGTAATTATTGTATTTTTATTGTCCATGTGTTCCTGTACATTTAGATGAAAAGTCAAAATTTCATGCCGACTCTGATACTCCTTCTACAAAACCTACGTCTCAAAAGTCAACTAATCCTAGTAAAAAAAAAACAAGATGCCTATGTTTTAATTTTAATTCTACTACATTGTATTTTTAGCTACTGAAGAGATGTCTATTGACGATGAGTATCATGGATATGGTACCTGGCATTTTGTTAGTATTTTTCTTATTGTAAGTGTGATTGCAATAGTTGGATACTTCTTTGTGCATAATCGTAAGAAGGTAAAGGTAATTACAAGTTGCTTAAAGATAATTCCTTTTACTTGGCAGCTCAGAGAAAGTCTTACAGGTCAGATAGCTGGAAAAGGACGCCGAAAGAATAATTATCGACCTCTCAGCCAGCAATAACAGCCAGATCATTAACTTTGTTGACATTGTGTTTATTGCATGTATGTGTTGCAAAGGTATTTTGAAGTGATTTTTGAATGGTTCTTTTATGAAACTTTTTAATAATGTTATTGTGCCAATCGTCTACTTAAAACGTTTATGCCTTTGACAAATTGAGTTCACTAAAGTAATGTGCTGTAGTTTACATCAAAAGTAGTTCTTCTATCAACGACTAGATGTCCCGAACTGAGTAAAATAATTGTCACTGAGGGTGTTAACATAAACCTCTTGGTTGATGATATCTTGCCTGCAGGAGAGGAATACATACATGTATATGCCTTATATGTACATTACAAAGTAATCATTACTTGGCTCGTTGTTCTGCTGCCAGGAGTTTGTTTTGCTCTGCATGTTCTTCAGCCAATTGTTTTCTTGCTTGCCTTTCTTGTGCTTCTAGGACAAGTCCAGCTTTGGCTTCAGCCACTCGCCTTCTGTCCCATTCCTCTTCTAACCTTTTCTCTTCCATTTTAATATGCTAGACATCGACAATTAATCTGATTACAAAGCAAGCAATTTCTGTACTTTTTTCTCTTCCCTTTGTTCAGCCTGTGTCTGCCGCACTTTATCCATGTCACTCTGGCTCATTCCTTTCCATCTATCAGGAATAACTCTGTGCAAAATTTATAATAAATGCCATGAATTTTGTATAAAAACATGTAGTTATATTTGTACCTTTGTTGCCCAAGGGCACTTTGGGCAACTGAAGGATTTTCAGTTAAGATATCACCACTAACATTGTTCCTAATTTCAGTAAAATTATCATCAATTTCTTGAATCAAACTCTGTTGTTTATGAGCTTCTCTTTCTTTGGCCTATAGAAGAGTTAATGGAAATGATAATAACATCAATAAATTTTACTAGGGCTTGATTGTATTCCTTTATAGCAACATTCAAAGTTCTACGAGTAATTTCATCAGCTTTAAGTAATTCCTGAGCTCTTTCATCAATTTCGATAGCCTTCACGTCATACAAGTGATCTGCTTTCTTTTTCTCCATAGAAAGACGTCTCTTTTCTTCCATTTGTTGACTTAACCAATCCCTAAAACAGTCATTCAAAGACATTAAAATTAAACTACATGTATGTGTATTCAGCAACCTCATTTGTTCATGTTGGAGACCTTTTCTTTTCTGATGATCAAGATCTTCACCTGAAAAAGTCTGCATTCCTGAAACAGTATTTCTTGGATCACTATCTGAAACCTAAAAAATTACTTAGTCAGTTAATAAATTATTCAGCCTTGTTTCTTTACTCTTGCAGGAAGATCTTTCAGTTTGCTGTCATGATCATTCAAATCATATTCTCGTCTATCCTGTGGTCTTTGATTCTCTTGCCAATACTCCACTAATGACTATACACACATGCCTCAAATTAAACTAAAATAATAATGGCTTACAGCATTGATTTCTTTTGCCTCCTTTTCCTTCCGTTCTTGTAAAATTTCAGCTACCTTAGAATTACGTATCATCTCCTCACCTTACAAATTGTAAAATATTTTCAACACAAGTTTTCGACTATTACCAAAGGCTGCAGAGTGCTCTTTTTCAAGGTTTTTCCTTTCTTTCTTTTCATTTACCTGTTTGTCTAACTCTTTGATATCAACCTACATGTGTATACATGTAGACTCACACTAAAACATTGCACTTTTCATTGTGACTTACACCAATGGTTCTCTCTTTAGCATTGAAAATCCGAGCTTGCCTATTTCTCTCCATGTTCTTGCGTCTTTCGATCGCGAAAGACTCACGAGTGTCCAAAGGTAAGTCTAACTTGTACATGATCAACTACTCTGACTTCGTATTGTCTGTCTATTTGTAGACGTTACTATGGTAACAGAATGGGAACCGAATTTTGGGTATCAAGACTGAAAAAAATGCAAACTCAGCATTAACTGTGGCCCCGCCCTCCAATCGGCTCATTAGCAATTGGCTAGGCTGAAAGATGGGAAACTCACCAACTGTTCCTGAAGATAATTCGGGTGAGGACTCCAAGCTCTACATTGATGTTGATCGACACAAGTGGCCCATACTGTACTCTCCTGATTATGATATTTCATTCTGGAAGTTAGAGACTATTCATCCATTCGACAGTACTAAATGGAAACGAGTGTATCAATTATTGAATGAAAAGAATATGTTGAAGGGCCTGGAAGATATAGTGCAACCTAATGAAGCCTCAGTAAGCGATCTCCTGGTTGTTCATACACAAGAGTATTTAGAGAGTCTTAAGGTATGGTTTATTACAATAAGTCTATAATAATGTATGTACATGTACATAAATCTAGTGACATTTACATCTATACGTAATGTACATGTATATGATAGTGGATTCCTTTTTGGAATGTCAAAATTATGTAGTTATTGAAGTGCAAAGTTTGTTTTGTGAAAGATCTACTCCTGCCATTTTATGGGTTTAAATTTTCATTTGAGCATAGAGAAGAATACCAACTACATTTGTAGCAAAAGTTTGGCACAAAGAAGGGTGCTAAGTTGGTGTGTCAAAAAAATTTTGGGTGAATCCATTACTTGTGGAGTGGTTTTGTTTGTATGTACATGTATATGTATACTCATATACATTACATCTGAGTTTGTTCTATTATAGTATCCCAAAACACATAATTAAGAATACATGTGCATGTGTATCTTTTTAACCCTTTAGCACCGATAGATGTACTTTAGCATCATTAACATGTGTAGCATGTGTAGGTGTAGTACAATAGACGTATATGTACGTTATTGTTATTGGCCTCACCCAGCTTTGTGTAGGCGAGGACTAGGTACTCAGCTTGTCTGTCTGTCATTCATTCATTCTGTGTGCTATATTTTGTCTTTGAGAATGTATATCTTTACAATCGCATGCTCTAAATCTGTTAGAGCTTCTCTTCTGTTAGGAAAAGTCTTGCTTTACTGCTTCGAGATGTTTAGAGAGCAGCTCTAGGTACATGTAGTACAAGCTTTTTAACTCACGAGAAAATACCTAGCAATAGCGGTAGTACTCTGGAGGTAAATGAGACTATTTCCCAGTAGATCAAGACTAGTTATTCATTTAATATGTGTGGAACTCTTTAAATCTTTCTTGTTGGTGAGTTATACCAGGGGCATATCCAGCAGGGGCTGAGGGAGCCTTGAGCACCACCCTCATGGCTGGGCTCAGAAAAAAATTACTCCAATCCTGGACTTTTGAATCACTACCAAGCCTCTTAACAAAGTTATCTAGCCCCCTGATCATGATTTCAGTAGTTTCCAGTGCTTTAAGGAGCGATCAGAAGTCGTAAGAAGTACCACTATGCTTGAAATTATTTTGACCCCACCCGTAATTCACGAAAATTAAGGAAAATGCCGTTTTACCGCCGCAAAAAGGGGTGAGCCAAAATTGCAGCGCGCTTCGCGCACCCTCAGCATTCCTCTTCTCCAATTTCTAGATACACCCTTGTTATAGCTACTGGAATTTTATCCCGAGTAAAGTGCTGTAGCTGTAGTTTGCTAGTCTAAGGATCATAAACTCTCTTAAGTCACTCAATCTATCTAGGCAACAGTATTTGTGCCATTATAACATTATATAGCGCTTAGAAGAAGAGAAAAAAATCTGCAGCTTCCTACTCACATGGTCTTGCTAGTTGCTACATTATTGATAATTAATGCCACGCCTCCAAAGTGGAAGTTGCTGGAGCCTGGGCCCTGGAGCAGCTTGCCACTTCTGCAAGCATGCAAGAGCAAGTGTAACTGCAGCTAGGAAGCTAGCTGTTATGATAATCCCTTGGCCTCAAGAGCACACTTTCTAAATTTTTTGCATAGTATGTTTTTGATAGATAGTGGCCACAACAAAAGCTATGGTTTTGAAAGTAACCCATGATGTATGAGTGCAATAAGTATAAATATAGTATACTGGCTTAGGCTAGCTAAGCCGAACACCTCCCAAACAGCTTTAGGGGCGAGGCCACGCACCTTTGGTGTCTCGTTTTATTATTAATTAATTTTGTTATTGTATTTATTAACGACCTGGGGGCGAAGCCCCCAGGTCGTTCCTATAATTGAATTCACCATCGCGCTATGTATATATATATATTTATTTATTTGTATGTCCACACTTACATTTCTTCTATACACGTTGTATTGGAGAAATAACAAGCCTTAGCAACCACCCGCCCACGCTCCTTTACTTGAGTGGGTGTGGTCACGGCAAACAAAATGGCGGCTTTCACATGGGACAAAGTTAAGAGCTTTCTAACAGCAAGAGAGAGCATAGAGATACTGTCTAAACACTTCTCTAGAAGCATTATAAGGTAGAGAGAACCTCTATAAGTCTTAATAATGACCAAGTTGTACTTGCAAGGTGGTGAAATCAATTATAGGAATATTTTTTACCCTGTTACGCTTGTTTTTGAAGTGAGATTGGAAAAAGCATACCATTCTAGATAGCTTAAATAACTTCTCTTTCATCTGTCTAATATATAGTCGGTTTCAGTTGAGTTGCCCAAGCACCACCCCTTATAACTTTTTTATTACTAATGTTAGCAACCTGAAACTTGATATAGTTGCATAACGGGTTCTTCCGAAAATCTGTATCAATTTTTGAGTCTCTAGGTTCTCTGGAAGGTTCTGAATGGGTTCTTCCGCTCTAGTTCAAAGGGAGCCGCCATGATGAATCATTATGTTTACGCTACGTCACACTCGTGAATATAATTTGCATATCATTATTATTTTAAGAAAATTAATGTTTTTTATTGTATAAAATAAAAGCAGACAGATAAGGTCCTCTAAAGAAGCAGGCATTCAACTAGCAGTCTGTACTACTGGAAAAAACTGCTATACCTGTCCACAGCCTTCTTGATCGCCGTTTTTCTTCATCACCCTCAACCTAGGTTGTTATCTTCCTTATTGGAGGTCTTTGTCAGGAGGTCTTTGTGACAGAAAAAAGTTTAGCCAGTGATAATGAAAGGTAGTAGTATCCAAAGTAAGGATAAAATAGACAATAAAAGGTCTTAGAGGAGAAGAAACGCTCAATGAAAGAGTTTGCTTGCACTTTGCCACCATTTTGGGTGTGGCTAGGAATGACGTTTTGTGATGCAAACATTGATTTACTTCCTGTGGCAACTCAAATGAAACTGACTATATGTATAACATTGTCAAAGACTCAAAACACAGTATAATTGTAGAAAATTACAGCAGCGCGAGTCAAACCGCAGAATCTATTAAAAGCGATCAGTGGCTGAGGTACTGTAAGCTATCTAGAAAATGATATAAGAACAAAAATAAAATGTTTAGACTTGCTTTTTGGAAATTTTTTAGAAATGAGCAGAAAAGGTGAACAACTCCAGAGAGCTATTTTGCCTTATATTTTAATAAAGAATTGTGTTGGGTGTGGCCACATTTTGCTTAGCAATGGCTTAGCAACCATGGCTGTGACAGAGTCACAGTAGTGTTTCCACTTGAAGCATCTTCAGTACCTGTTCATTCTTTTATATCCTACCTACTAGGTCCTTGCTACTTAACATGATAGAACTCTCTTTTGCTTCGCCAAGTCCATGTACATGTAGTTCAGAAAAACAGGAGTATCTTTACAATAGACACTCCATTGCGTTATGCTGCTTCATTTATTAAAATGATTCTTCTATCTAAGGATGACAAGATCTTGAGAGATACGCATTGCTAAGCTAGTTCTACCAGAAATTTGTTTTTTATCAAAATTAATTTTGACTGTGTGAGTATAGCTGCTACAATTAATTTTTGGAGTTGAAGGGTTAATGACATTTACATGTTCATGTATGTCAATAAAATTTGTTCTTCGGATGTATTATGCTAATAATGAGGATATCATTTTTAGGCACAACAATTTTATTGTATTGTATTATTTGTAGAACAAAACAGTGCAATGATGGCTTTTTTTTGCATTTGCATGTGTTAATTTTTCTCATTATCATTCTTTTAGAGTAGTACAAATGTTGCAATGGTTGTTGAAGTACCCCCCCTCGCTATTGTACCAAATTATATAGTTCAGAATAAAATGCTACGACCTTTCCGATATCAGACAGGAGGAACAATTTTGGTACGCAAGATTTAGTGAAGTAATAACATGCATATACTACATGTATGTAGTAAATATCCTACATATTTTAACCAATTTAAATACATATAATTTACATGTACCTTACTAGGCTGGTAAACTAGCAATGGAAAGAGGCTGGGCCATCAACATTGGTACGTTTATTGATTTATTCTAAACCTTAATTTTCAACAACATACTTTTGAACAGGAGGGGGATTCCATCACTGTTGCAGTGGAGAAGGAGGGGGCTTTTGTGCATATGCTGACATTACTCTCTCTATTAGGGTATCAGCTTATTTTTTTGTGACATGCATATGATGCTGTATATTATTATAGTTTCTTTTTCAACGTGTTCCTGATGTAAAAAAAGTCATGATAGTAGACTTTGATGCTCATCAAGTAATGTGTTTAACTAAAAGTTCAATGCACATGCACTTTTTGTTTTTATGTGTACACATAGGGCAATGGACATGAAAGGGACTTTATGGATGATGATAAAGTGTACATTATGGACATGTACAATCGTTGGATTTATCCTAATGATATTAAAGCAAAATGTAAGTACATGACCAGAAGTCAGTGCACACTTTCCTCAACAATACATTGTTTACAGAGCATCATCCTTAAGGAATTACATGCTGACCTACTGTAGTATAGTTAAGCCACCCTTTCCTGCTTGTGTTTATTATAATAACTCTTTGTGTATTGGACCTGAAGGCATGTGTTGTTAATCCTATTTTGTAGCAATTACTAATGTAAATAATGCAGCACTGGGTACCTGTACGTGTAGGTACATGTACATGTACATGTATGAGATACACTTACATTACATTATTGTAACAAGTATCAATTTCCATGTAGTAAGATATTGTAGAATTCTTCAGATGCTATCTCTGTGTGACATGTACGTTGTATTGGTTTGAAGGCTATCATTTAAGTATCGCCTTTTTGAATTTTTTGTCAGGGCTACACCACAACCTTTGTGTTTAAAACTTTTGCTTTAGTGTAGTATATTAACATCCATTAAGTTTAATAATTTTACCATTAACTTTAATGAAATTAGGCCAAATGCTAAAATGGTTAAAATTTATGGATTGCAACTATTAACATTGTAACCAATAATTCCAAGCATAAGGATGGACTTTATTCCTATCCTTAAGATAAGTTAACTCTGGCCATTGGTTTATATTGCACTTCCACTCTCCACTTGATGCTTTACATGTACATGTATGATAGATTATCTTTGCATTGTGAATCAGCCTACTATACAATGTACTTAATTCCCAAAAGATAAGATTCTTATAGCCCGTTATTTTATATGCTTCCTTTATTTTGACAAGTTGACAAAAACGTATCGTTAGCTCACTGACAGATAGTTTACTGTTTATTGTGTTGCAGTAAACTTCTTGACTGTTCTCTGCAGTAAACACAACCCTAGTGAATCAAAGTAACAGATAAATTTTTACATTTATAACTACAGGCACCTGTGCACGTATACTTGCCATACATGTACATGTATAATATGTGCAGTTTTATGTTAATTATGATCATGGTGGATACATGTACATGGTTTGGCACCTTTAGGAAAGAAAAGACAAATTTACATGTACAATATTATGATAGGCCATTGTACAATCAATTTTTGATCAAAAGTGTTGCAATGGTGATTTACCTTTTGACACATGCATGCTTTCCACTAGAATAGAACCAAATCCTATTTCAGCGTCAACATGACGTCAATCCTAGTAAACCTGCCTGAACTCTACATTTTGACTGTCAATAGCATTAGTTATTCTGAAGCACTGTACATATACATGTAAGTGATGTTGCTATTTTTACATGGGTATAAACAGAATGTTTTGTTATAGTCAAGAAGAGGATTTATTACCATTGCAGCCAGAATAATTGCCTGTCTTAAATCTTTGAATTTTTTTCATCAAAATTGCATAAATTAGGCACTCTCATTTTTTAAAGCTGCTCCTTATCTACAATCTTCACTGAAATTTAAGAGTTCTTTTAGTGTGATGTGTTCATGACCCATTGCGATTACATGTATTATTGTACAATTACATGTATTATTGATGGTTATAATATTGGCAGTTTTATTTTGAACCACCAAATTATCCGGCTATGCAAATTTAGGTGACCTTGTCTGTGCTTCAGCAATAAAATGATAAATAAGAGTGTTTGTGTTGTACATATACATTGATGTGTCATATCTATTTTCCTAAATAGAGTTCTGTTATCACTTACATGTACATGTAGTAGTGCTGTATTTCTGGGCCCACCTAGCTTCATCTACAACCTTCATTTCATTTTAATGTGTTTATTTTATGAAGAAAATTTTATTTCATTGAGGGGATAGAGCAGTTCTGTTCTGCCACATCTAACAGACAATGCATTAATATTACTAAAATAACCATACTACTAGACAGCTATTACAAATTCACTTATATGGTAGTGGCTAGTTCCATTTAGTTGCAATTATTATTGTATGAATATAGAAATTCACATGCATGTATGTTATTTTGCAGCTGCTATTAATATGAAAATTGAATTGGATGTACATACTGGGGATGAAACATACCTCCGTCACATCAGAAGAAAACTTCCAGAAGCCCTTGATGAGTTTCATCCTGACATTGTTGTTTATAATGCTGGTACGTTGCCTGTCCAAAAGAATAACAGTTAATGTTGATATTTCATTGTATGTGAAACTTGTTGTTGATCTGTTTAAACAAAATCATATGCTCTACTTACTATTATTCATGCCTTGTTGATTGTTACATTTACTACATATGGAAGTAGCTTTGTTATATCACTTCCAGATGCGTATGGACAGAATTTTTCTTGTTTGCATTGAAGATGGTGTTGTTGTTTAACTTTAAAGTAGAACTGAAAGTGATGTTATTGTAAGCAACATGCTGTTCTTTATCAGTAAACATAATTAGGCAAACTTCAGCTAAGCCTACTGAGATTAAATATTCTCCAACCATTGTGCTCAGTTATCTGACCATTATTCTGTTTTTCTGCCTTTTGTCTAAGCAATATATTTTTTTATTGATGATGCAGTTTTCTTTTAAAATACAT